CCGGCACCTCGGCAGCCCCAGAAGCCGGCGGGGGCCCTTCGCAGAGAAGGGGGCGGCATTAGACAGGTGCCACATAAATGCCCCAAACAAGTAAAAGTGCCCCGGTGCTGCTCTGCAGTCCCCAGCTCACACGTCTCTCAGTTACTTATTTCAGCCCGGAGGAGGGAACTGGAATGAAATTAAAATTGTGCAAAGTTATTGTTAGGATCTTTCAGCCTCCTCCAGAAAGGTTCGCTGCCTGGCGCTGCCGTCAGGGAGGCGGCAGGCACAGTACACATGGAAGGAGAGAGGAGCTTGCACTAGACTCAGTGAGAGGGTTTATCAGCAGTAGGCAGCCCCTGGCACGGGTGCCAGGGCGTGGCACGCAAAGGCATTTTGCTTGGCACGTGAGCCTCTGGGTGGACGGCAGGGAAGGGGCTGGGGCTGCACTGCCACAAGGAGCGGACCCCTCGCGGCTCCCCCATCATCTGCCCCCGGCACGGTGTTTTTGGCACGCTGCCCTAAAACGTTGCCATCCCCGGGTTTATAGTGTCTCATTTTGTGCAGGGTAGGGATGCACCTTGTAGGATAACTCAGCCAGAGGCGCATAAGCGTTCATGAGCCCAAGCTCACTTCATCATTTGCAGTCATTGTATAAACTATTTTGGTCGGGGGGGCTGACACAGTTTTGTTCTAATCCTTTGGTATCACAAGCCTGAGTTTCTGAGGTGTGTGTATTAACCTGCCATATTATAAAATCATAGACCATCAGGGTTGAAGGGACCTCAGGAGCTCATCCAGTCCAGCCCCCTGCTTAAGGCAGGACCAGCCCCAACTAGATCATCCGAGCCAAGGCTTTGTCAAGCCAAGTCTTAAAAACCTCCAAGGATGGAGAGACCACAGCCTCTCTGGATAACTTGTTCCAGTGCTTTACTACCCTCCTACTGAGGATGTTTTTCCTAATATCTAACTTAAACTTCCCTTCCTACAACTTGAGACCATTGCTCCATGCTCTTTCAACACCCCCCGTCCCCTTTTCAGGTAGTTGAAGGCTGCTATCAAATCCCTTCTCCATCTTCTCTTCTCCTATTGTGAAAAAAAAATGACTTTCCCCTCAGGGTTTAACACAGAGGGTGGCATTTCCCTCCCTGTAATTACAACCTGGCACAAATACTTCTGTGTTGTAGACATGTGTTGCAAGTTTACTCTTTGCATGGGATCCTGCCCATGTGTGTGACTGACAGTTTTATGGGCCAGTAAAATTGTAAAATAAACAATCTTGGTTCCAGAAAGGGGAGGGCTTTTGCAGAAGGAGCAGGGAGAGGACACTTGACAATTGTCCGTTGGGTGAGTAACTGAGCAGAGGCACCACCAAGAGAATTAAAATTAAAGGCAGTTTCCTGTTGTTTGGCATGAAGTCTGGAGGGGCCCTTCCTAAATCAGCCATTCTTCCTCTGCTGGGTATTGTGCTCCAGCAACAGACACTGTTTTCAGGGTTTCTAGTTGCACTGAGCTGTGGAATAATTGTCCACAAAAATAAACGAGTCAGTAAGGGAACCTCTTGTCTTTCCTGCTGAGCCCTGTCCTCTCCCCTCTTATCTCTGTTACAGATGACAGCCGCTCAGTCCACACAGTTGCCCTGGCCTGCAGTTTTGGGTCTTGTTTGCTGGCATGTCTCTACAGTAACAGCCGTCCTGGCCAGCCTCCAAGGGAAGACACAGCCGATACGGGCAAAAGAATGTTTTTGCCACTGTGGGCTATGTTTTGTTCCCCAGATGAAATAAACTATATCGGTAAAGGGCCCTTTGGCTGGTGTCACTGCATCCACATAAAAGCTTCTGCTGGCATAAAAATGTATGAAAAATAATCACACTCCTAACCACGTCAGTTCCCTGGCAGAAGTATTTAGTGCTCACCTAACTGTGATATCATCTCCTGGTCTCTCCTAATATGCTAGTTGCTCACATCTTTCCTCTGGCTTCTATTCCCACTGACAGAGTCTTTGCTCAGTTGCACCTTGCAACCTCCTACTTCCTCCTAGCTTATTTTATTTCCAACCTATCCAGTATGCTGAGGGTGTCAAACATACGGCCTGTGGGCTGGATGCAGCCCACAGAACCGTTCCATCTGGCTTGCCAGCAAAGTGCGTGCCCTCAGTTCTGCACTGTCGCATGTCCCTGGGACTAGAGACCATCCAGAGCTTCACACCAGGGGCATGCGGCTGCGGGGAGCCATGTTCAGGTGGCAGTGTGGAACTGTGGGCAGGTGGCAGTAGTGCCCAGGTGTGTAGCAACGTGGAGCCAGGGGCATGTGCCAGCGAACATCCAGAGATGTGCCACAGCATGGGGCTGCAGCTGGACAGCAACATACAGTCATGCCCATCTGTGCCACTGCATGCCCCTGGCTGTAGCTCATGGCACTGCCCAAACAGCTGTGTGCAGCTGCATGCTCCTGGCTCCATGCTGTTTCCCAGCCAGGGCTCGATTTGGTTGTATGCCCGTGTCTCCTTGTCAATGCATGCCCCCAGCTCCACGCTACCCAAATGTGGTTCTGTGTAGCTGCCCAGCCCTAGGCCCATACTGCTGCCCAAACATGGCCCCATAGATCTGGCCCAGGAGGACCCCCCTGCAGTCCAGATCCAGGGCCCAGGGGATGAATTTGACACTCCTTTTGTATGCTGTTATTAAACTTCTGTTTTCCTCCTGTAGTCCTCATCATAACTTCTATCATACCTTCCTTAAAATGTTTAAGCAACTCCCTGGTTTCTTCTGCCATCAGTGCAGAATCCATGTCCTCCTTTTTCAAGATTCAGCACGCCCTTCCTGTAAAGGAATAAAAGTATAAGCTCTAGCATTGCGTTAGTTGTCTGTTTCCCCCATTTTCTGTTGTCTCTCCCATTTTTTCTGTGCCTGTGATTTTTGTCTATTTTAGGGCTCCATCCAGGGAAACACTACAAATGCAATAGCCTTTACTCAGGTCTGTTGGAACTACTGAGGTGAACACTTGTTGTAGGGCTTTGCTGTTTTACTGCAAGCTCTTCATGGCAGGGACTCTCTCCTCATTTGCCTGGAATCACTACCTGCCCACTTGGAGCCAAATGCACCTTTGCAAAATATTATGAGCAGCCCCATTTTCAAAAGAGAGCTCTTCTTGTTACTTCTTGGGATATTGCTTTTTCCCTGTGTATTATAAACTGGTATGAGTCCTTGGGGATTTTGTTGCTGCTTAAGGAATTTTTAAAAGAAATTTAAAAAACCCAGTTATTTCTTCATATGTTGTTTGGAAAAGTCTCAGAACTGTGGATAGCTGAAGTGCATATCAGCCTGGCAGGTTGCCAACTGGGTCTTAAGGGAAAATGTAACTAGGAATGGTCTCATAGTGACTTGTATCTCAGCGGAAAACCTAACTTTTTTAGTGACTCACATGACCATTGTTCTTGGAAGTGGAGGCTAGAGCTAATGGGCCCTCTAAAATTACACTGCAATGCAGGCCTCTTTAGACTGCTGTTCTCCTTTA